CTTGGGAATGGCTGCCCATTATCAGTGGGAAGGGGCTCCTAGGTCCCCATCCCCAACCTTCATGTGTCATCTTCCAACTTCTAATTATTGCCAGACCTGTGGGATGACTCGTGTCATTTTAATTTCCATTTCCCTGATCAGTTACCATTAATTTCTTTTTTTTTTTTAAGAGAGATTTTTGCTATAGGGTGCTTACACTTGCTGGAGAGACACAGAGAGACAGAAAGTGAGAAATCACCCCCCGGGGTAATGGCCACCTTGCAATCCCTTCTCCTCCATTCTCCTCTCGAGATTTTGGGCACACACGCACACGCACACGCACCTGGCATGAGTTTTAAGCCACCAGGTCAGGGACTTGAACCGCAATCGATTACGTGGGAGTCCAGCGACATAGCCATTACACCATCTGCTGGTCCCAAGTTATCACTAATTTTCTAGTATCTTCTCAGCTACCTGTCGAAGTTTTAGGTTTCCACGTTCTGTCCACTTTTCTCTCATAAACGTGATAGAATCTTCTTTTCTTGCTCATTTGTAGCTGTTCCTTCTACGTTCTAGCGATTTGTTTCCCATCAAGTTCGAACATTGCAAACACCGTTTCCCCATCTGTCATCTGATACATGTCCCGTGATACCTCATGAAAAGATAATCCTTATTTGCATGTTATCAAATGCATCACTTTTCTGCCTTATGAGTTTCTGCGGTTTGATTCAGAAGTCTTTTCTTTCGTGGTCATCTGTGCTGTTGTTGCTGTTCACCATCCCAAGGGCGGTAAAGGCTGTGTGTGTATGCACAAGCACCAGGGCCTTTTCAGACCACCCTCCCTGAGGCTTGCGAGTTCCCAGAGCCTGGGGTCTCTCCAGGAGCATAAGCTGAGCTCAGACAGAGGCATCACGCCACATTTATGAGATGCAGGTGCTGCGGGGGGTGGGCTGAGAGGGTCCAACAGCACCTCATGGAGAGCAGGGGGCACAACTCGAGAGCGAGAGGAGAGCAGAGGAAGAGAGAGGGTCTGGGTCTAGGACCTGGTGAGCGAAAGGAGCAAAAGAGACTTCCGACAGAGCTGCCTGGTCAAATTGACTAACATATGAGGGGTCTTCAAACAGTTCATGAAAAATGTATATTATGTAAAAAGTATTCATGGATTTAAAAACTTTGTGCACCAAAATAAACTCATACTTTATTATTTTGTAAAAAGTTATTGGGACCAGCAGATGGCATAACGGTTACATTGCTAGACTCCCACATAGTTGACTGTGGTTCAAGTCCTGGACCTGGCAGCTTAAAACTCACGCTGGGAGCACGTGCCTGAGTGCCCAAAATCCAGAGAGGAGAATGGAGAAGAAGGGATGACGGCGTGGCCATCCCCTCTGGCGGGTGATTTCTGTCTCTCTGTCTTTCTGGCAAGCACTCACACAACATATGGCAAAAATATCTCTTAAAAAAAAAAGGTATTGGTACCAGCAGTTAGTGTAATGGCTATGTTGCTGGATTCCCATGTAGCCTACAGCGGTTCGAGTCCCGGACCCGGTGGCTTAAACCCACGCACACATGTGCGTGTGGGTCCAAGATCCCAAGAGGAGAATGGAGGAGAAGGGATTGCGTCATGGCCATCCCCCTTGGGGGGTGATTTCTCACTTTCTGTCTCTGTCTCTCTCTGTCTTTCTGGAGACACTATAGCAAAAACCTCTCAAAAAAAAGGTTACTAATTTTTTCCATGAAAAAGAGAGGCAGCCTGGGTTGTGGTCATAAACAAGCCCAGCAGTACTCAGGGAGTACTGTTGAACTCAGAACCATCCTTGGTGAGTCAGCTTTGCAGACCACCACGTTTCGCCACTGTAACTACCTCTGGCCCCCCCCAAACTCATACTTTAACTCTATTCTCAAGAACGATTTGAAGTTCCCTCATAGGAGGTTTGGCAGAAGCTTACTAATTACAATGACACATTGATTCCATTCCTGGGCATTACCCTACAAAATTGTCTCTCTACGTTTACCAAAAGTCAGATGCTCAAGTATTCATGGCAGCATTATTCACCACAGCCCCAAACTGGAAACGACTTAACTGTCCATCACAGGAAAATGGATCAAAAAGTCGCCAACTCATCACACGATGGACGACTGCACAGCAATGAAGGAGCATAAGCTATAAACAAATATCACAACGTGAAAGAATTGCAGAGCCGTGACGTCGAATGAAAGAAGCCGGACACAATGAATGAGTTCATTTATATACAACTCGAAACCAGACGAAACTAGTCTGTTAGATGGTGGGCTGGGGAATTGTGAGAAATCGAGCTGAGAAGAGACTCGAAAGGGCTTACGGGGGGAGGAGGTCTGTTTCTTGATTTGTGTGAAAGTCACATGCTTAATTGGTGACACTTCATCCACCTAAATACTTCATGTTTTGTGCTCTTTTTTTTACTTTTTTTTTTTTGGAGAGGTTTTTTGTTTTGTTTTGTTTTGTTTTGTTTTTGCTATAGGGCACGTGCGCTTGCCAGACAGACAGACAGAGACAGAGAGACAGAAAGCGAGAAATCACTCCCCGGGGGGATGGCCACACCGCAATCCCTTCTCCTCCATTCTCCTCTCGAGATCTTGGGCACGCCCGCACACGTGCCCGGCGTGAGTTTTAAGCCACCGGGTCCGGGACACGAACCGCGGTCAACTATGTGGGAGTCCAGCGACATAGCCATTATGTTAACTGCTTTAATTTTAAAAAACTAAGAGCCGGGAGCCAGCAGATGGCGTAGCGGTTACGACTCCCACATGGCTAACTGCAATTTGAGTCCTGGACCCTGAGGCTTGACACTCATGCCAGGTGCATGTGCATGTATGTCCAAGATCCCAGGAGCAGAAAGAAGGAGAAGGGATTGCAGCATGGCCATCCCTCTGGGGAGTGATTTCTCACTTTCTGTCTCTGTCTCCCCAGTGAGTGTACACAACCTATAGCAAAAATCTCTGGGGAAAACAAACAACAACAACAACAAAACTACAGGCAAGGCATGACACATTTAGGTAAAAGAAAAAAAAAAAAACATAGTCAAAAGGAAAGTGTTTCTATGAGCACGCATTTCTATACATAAACATACAGATGATGGTTCAGATAGTATCCAACGACATGTAACATTGGTCATATAGGTCACCCCTGCCTAAGAGGAACAGTGGGTGGGAAGCGGACACCCAAAGGATTTACCTCCAACTGCAATGTTTTTTATAATAACGGTGGGTTGGGGCCAGCAGGTGGCGTGGTGGTTAAGGTGCTGGACTCCCACATCATTGACCATGGTTTGAATACCACATCTGGCAACTTCCTTTCTCACGTCCCTCTCTCTCTGTCTCAATTTTAAAATAATAATAATAAAATTAAGTAAGTCTTTTTTAAGAAAGATAACAGTGGGTTATGTGAAAATGAAATGAGTTGGTATTCTAAAAGCCCTTCGAGGAGCTGGCAGGTGGTGTGGTGGTTGGGGGCACTGGTCTCCCACATAGCCGACCGCTGTTCAAGTCCCAGACATGGTGGCTTACTTTCTCATTTTCCCTCTCTTTCTCTCATTCTGTCCCTCTCTGGTCAAATTAATAAGTAAAGTGAAATTATTATTATTATTGTTTTTAAAAAGCCCTTTAAGCAGTGTTGTATACAGTGGGTACTACATAAAGGTTTGTTACAATAAGTGTAATAAAGTGAAAATATTTTCCAGGTTTCCAGTGGGATCATTAAAACTTGGGACCAGCAGTTAGCATAATAGCTATGTTGCTGGACTCCCATGTAATCGACTGTGGTTCAAGTCCCGGACCCGGTGGCTTAAACTCACGCCGGGCACTTTTGTGTCTGTGCCCAAGATCCCAAAAGAAGAACAGAGGAGAAGGGATTGCGACGTGGTCATCCCCCCTGGGGGGTGATTTCTCGCTTTCTGTCTCTCTGTCTCTCTCTGTGTTTCTGACGAGTGCACGCGCCCTATAGCAAAAACCACTCAAAAAAAAAAAAAAAAAAGAAAAGAAAAGAAAGAAAGAAAAAGAAAAAGGTGTGGGGAAACTGAATATCCACACACAAAAGAATGAAATTGGACCCTTACACATACAAAAAAAAAAAAAAAAAAAAAACTTAACTAGGGGGCCTGATGATGGGGCAATCGTAATGAAACCCTCTTCAAGTTCAACCAATGTGGGAAGGTTCTAGTTCCCTTCTGGAGACCTCCCAGAGTACACCCAGCACTTGTCCATGCCCAGCTATGCCCATGACCCAGGGCCAGCTGAGGCTGGGGGTGGATCATGGCTTTGAGACCCTCTTGGGAGATCTGTCTCTGTCTCTTTCTGTCTCTCTCATTAATGAAAGAAATAAAATAATAAATAATACCCTTGAAAAACAAACCTGAATCAGAGGCCAGCCTTGATGGGACAAGCAGGTGAGTGCTGCTGAGTAGTGGCTGAGGCCACATGGGAGACCTGGATTCCGTTCTATGACCAACCTAGGCCAGCTAAGTGTAGCAGTGTGAGCCTGCAAGCCTAGCCAGCTGGAAGGCTGGGACAGGAGGGTCACAACGTGGCGAGAGCTCACCAACGATAGTTCTCTCTCCCTTCTCTCTCCCTCCTGTGCATGTGCTCTTTTGCATTAAAGAAAAAAAAAAACTAGAGATAAAAGAAATATACAAGTCCTGTGAGTTCCTATTAAAATCTTTGTGCATTATATAAAAGAGTATGTCCTTATAAAAATACGTTTCTCTTGAGTATGTGTGTATTTTTACATAAATATCCGTCATACTGAAATAAACGACAAAGAACCCTGCTTTACTGAAGTCTGACAGTGACGGGTCTCGAGACAGAAGATGGGGGAGATAGAGAGCAAGCGCCTGGGCGATTGGGGGTGGGGGCCAGCGGCACCGGAAACCTCAGCCTGAAGGGATCCCCGTGTGGGGGAGGGGGCCTTCAGTCTCTCCCCAGCCTCTTCCTTCCCCCTGGCCTAGGGGTGGGTGGGGAGGGGCAGTTCCTCTTTCCTTCCCAAGCACGGAGGAGGCCCCAGCTCCCAAGGGGCTGAGCAGCGGGAGCAGTAGCCAGGGGGAGGAGCTGAGCCACACTTGCGAGACCCCCTCCCCGCCCAAGAAGCATGAACAGGAAAGACAGCAAGAGGTGAGAGGACTCTCCCCAGGGAGACAGGACCGCCCTAAGCCCCTAATCCTCTAGCTGGCTGCAGGAGGGCAAGGGAGATACTAACCAGGGCGGCAGGACATTTGACCGCTCCAGGATGGGGCACAGGGGGTGCCAGGTGCAAAGATGCTTCAGGAAGTCCAGAGCCCGCCTGGGCTGAGGCTGCTTGTACATGAGCCAGGTCCTCCTTCTCCCTCCCCTCCTCCCCCTCCATCCTAGCTCCCTCCGCTGGATGTCTCTGTTCTCCCTGGGGTCTTCCTGGTTCCCCATCATAGTCGCTGCCCCTTGGACTGGAAACTCCAGGCTCCTGCAGGGCCCTGCCCCAGGAGAGCGGAGTGTGACGTAGGACAAGGCAGCTCCCCTGCCTCTTAAACCACTCCTGGTTGCTCCAGACACTGCAGGGGGCTGCCGGTCTGCAGGTAAGGGCCCAGTGGCCTATGGCAGCGGGTTCTGGAATGGATTCCTATCTCCTGGGCAAGCTTGCCCTCCTGCCCTCAGGGGGCTGGGTGGCAGCTAGGACCCTAGCTTGAGGATCTCTTCCAGCCTCCTCTGGCATGACTCTGATGGGCAAAGGGGTCCCCTTTTTATAATATTCAGCGACTTAGTGGTGGAGTCATGGCTGTTTCATTTCCTGCTGTGTGACCTTAGGTAAGTCACTCAACTGCTCTGAGTGTGTTTCATCCTCTGTCAATAGAGCAGTCATAGTCCCTACCTCAGATGGGCCTGTAAGTCCTCAGAGAGACAGTCTAGACTAGTGGCGCTCAAATGTGGGCATCCATGGGAACCATCTAGAAGGTTTGTAAAACGCAGGTTGCTGGCTGGGCTTACCCTGGAATTTTTTGGTTTTGAAGATCTGGGGTGGAGCTCAAGATTCGATGTTTAGGCCCAGTTCCCAGGGGACACTTTTGCTACTGGTTGGAGACCGTGCTTTGAGACCACTGGTCTAGATAGAGAGGTCCCCCCTCGGCCTGGTATACAGCACTGATTAAATGCCAGCTGTAACTCAATGATTCAGTGGTGATTTACTGAGCCTTTAAGATGAGCCGGGGGTTCACCTCCAGTCACAGGCCTGGCTTTCTTTCATCTGTCTCCTGGCTTTCTTAAACTTGTTCTTAAAGCTTATTTACTTATTCAAAGAGAAAGACTCTTTGCTGGGACCAGCAGTTAGCATAATGGCTATGTCGCTGGACTCCCATGTAGTCTACCACAGTTCGAGTCCCGGACCCAGTGGCTTAAACTCACGCCAGGTGCGTGTGCGTGCATGCCCAGGATCCCGAGAGGAGAATGGAGGAGAAGGGACTGTGGCGTGGCCATCCCCCTTGGGGGGTGATTTCTCACTTTCTATCTCTCTGTCTGGCAAGTGCACGCGCCCTATAGCAAAAATATCTAAAATAAATAAATAAATAAATAACTTCATTATCTTCAGTTAATGAATGAGAGAATGAGGCTAAGAGAGGCTAAGGAACATTCCTAAATTCACAATGATGATTGATGGTGGGTTTGGGTTGGTTTTGTCATTTTGACTCTAAAGTTGGTCGCTTTTAATTTGTATGATACTTTTAATGTTCCAAATTCATTAAGACAAAAAAACTCTTGGATCTAGCATCCTGTTTTTCCTACCTAGTAATTGGAAAATTATAGATTAGGAAAAAAAAAAAAAAAATATATATATATATATATATATATATATATATATATATATATGCCGAGGGTTCACCTCCAGCCACAGGCCTGGCTTTCATCTGCCCCTTGGCTTTCTTAAACTTGTTTTTAAAGCTTATTTACTTATTCAAAGAGAAAGAGTCTTTCCTAATGGGATCTTGATGCCATTATCCACTCTAGCCTCAGCCGGCCCCAGATCATGTGCACACACGTGCCTCGTGTACTCAAGGAGGTCTCCAGATGTGACCCTGGAACCCTCCCATGGGGGTGGCCTCAGGGTGTGTCGTGTGCCCCAGTCCAGCCCCTCCCACCTTTCTGTGCACCTCAAATTCAACTTTCCCACCTCTGGTCACTTAACAGCCTGGGCAAACCAAGTTCATTATTTAGCACTTTTGAGAAGCTAGACCTTGAATGTTTGTGACAAATTCTTCATTATCCTCATTTTTCATATGAGGAAACTGAGGCCCAGAGAAATGAAGTGACTAAGGCCAAGTCACACAGCACACTGAAATTTCTCGGACCCAGTGTCTGCCGGTGGTGGAGCTCTCATTTTGCTCCTCCCTCCTCCCACCATCTCTATCTCTCCATTACCCTCTTTCCCCAACTGCAACCGGAGCCTCAGGGAGATGGAAGACAGAGTGAGGGTTATTTTTAATCTTGAAGCTGTCTTAGCCCCAGGGACGCTGCCTCACTCCAAGGAGCCCTGGAGAGGCCACTTGGCACTGGCATTTCCTCACCAGGCTCCAGATCTAGAGACCCGGGCTGGAAGCTGACACTCCAGGTCCTGCTGGGGGAAGGGGTCTGTCACCTGTGAGGGCAAAGGTGGGAGACAAGGGGAGTGATGGGATCCCAGGAGTCTGCCTGCAGGAGCCTGCTCTCATGAGAGCTGTGGGAAGTAAGGGCAGGTGTTGGGGACAAAGGGGGATTCCAAGGAGCTGGGCTGAAGGCAAAACCTCTCACAATTCCCCCTGAAAGACAGGAAGGATCCTAGAGGGTCTTCTCTCCTGATTCCCTGGGAGGTCAGGAGTAATCCCAGGGGTCTGCAAGTAGAAAACCTCCCACAATGCCTTGGGACCATCCAGTCAAGAGGAATTTGGGGACAATGCTTGGAGGAGGAATTTCTTTTAAGTCCCTGGAGGGGCCATAATAGTCCTAGGGGTCTATGATTCCCTGGGTGGGAGGCTGAGAAGGGTTCATAGTCTTGAGGATCTCTTCTTCTGGTTTCCTGAAGTGAACAGGAGTAAATTTGGGAGCGTATCTATAGGAGGGTCTCCCATGACTTCCTGGAGGGGTCTGGAGTTTTTCTATTTTTTTTTTTTCCCATGAGTCCATGGTAGGTCAGGACCAACTCTGAGCTCTGCCTCTAGAAAGCTTCTCTATGGTGCCCTGGGACACTAGGGTCTAGAGGAATTCTGGGGGCCCCAAGGAAAGGGCTCCCATGATTCCCTAGGAGCTGTGCCCACAGGAAGTCCCACCAGGAATGCATGGCGAAGACAGCAGGACGGTGCCGGCCCCGACAGGCCCGTCGCCACAAGACGTGTCCCAGCCCCCGGGAAATCAGCAAGGTCATGGAGTCCATGAATCTGGGTGTGCTGAGTGAGGGTGGCTGCAGCGAGGATGAGCTGTTGGAGAAATGCATCCAGTCTTTCGGTGAGCCCCATGCCTGGCCAGTCTGCCCCATCCTAACCTGGGCCAGCACCTGGTCTGCCCAGGCTTCCATTTTGATGGGTATAACATGGGAGTAGGGGTGTGTGGGATGAATCCCAATCACTATATCTAAGACAGGAGAGGCACTTAAGTAAGCCGCCAGTGGCATGGATCCCACATGGCTGGCTGCACAGTTCAAGTCCCAGACCTGGCGGCTTGAAAAACATGCTGAGCATGTGCGCGCGTGTGCGGAAAAGAGAATGGAGAGGGGATTGTGACATGAACATTCCCCATGGTGTGTGTGTGTGTGTCTCCCTCTCTTTCAACTTGCCAACACATGTGCCTCCAGCAAAATTAAAAGAAAAGAAAAAGAACAGAGAGAGAGAGGACCTAAGTTCTTCCAGAGATAGGAACATGGAAGAGGTCGAAGGCTATTTCGGTCTTCACCAAACTAGCCAGTCGATGTGCTAGCCCATGCAGAGTGCAGGCAAGAACCCTGAGGCACAATAGGGTTAAGCTGCTCGGCCAAGCTCCTGCAGGGCATCATGGGTAGAGCGGGTGTGTGAACTAAGCAGTCCAATCAGTTCTGGAGCCTGTGTAGTCCACTGCCCAGGGCCCATGCGGACACAGAGCCCCCTTCTCCTGCCCCTAGACTCAACTGGCAGCCTGCGCCGTGGGGACTACATCCTCAACATGATGCTGGCCATGCACAGCTGGGTGCTTCCTTCCGCCAACCTGGCTGCCCGTCTGCTGGCCTTATATCCTCCAAGGACCGTGAGCTTGGGGCAGAGGGTGGCGGGCAGAGATGTGAGAGCCCGGGCGATGGGGACGGGGAGCAGACAGGTCCAGAAGGCTGCCTAACGGAGCCTTGACCAGAACTCAAGTACCAGAAAGCCACAGGGGACACCCAGGAGCGGAGGCGGCTGCAGATCTGCCACCTGGTCAGGTAGGGCTATGTGAAGACCCCTACTCTGTGATTCAAGACTCCCACCCTGCTGCCTCAGAAACATCTCTCAAAGTCTCTACAGCCCAGTTCCCCATGGACCCACCCAGCCCTGCTCTCCCAAGTAGTACTTCTGAGTAGCCCTAGCTTGGCTCCTAAGAACTCCCACCTCTTAAAGATCCCCCCGACCGGATCCCATAGACCCTCTCCCAGCTCTTGCCCAGAGGCCTCTAGCTCTGATCCCCAAAACTCCTATCACCCATACTTCCCAGGCTAGTTCCTAAGATCTCCCTCACACTGTCCTCCCCACGGCTCACTCCCAGAAGCTCCCAGTCTAGTTCCTGAAGTGCCCTCCACTGTCCTGCTTCCACCAGTTCCATTTCCAACAGCTCCCCTCAGTCCACCTCCCAGAGCCTATGTTAAGAGACTCCCCAGTCCTACTGCAGAGATCCCCCCAGCCTGGTGCCCCTCCAAACTCAGACCTTCCAGAGACGCCTTGGCTCACACTGAGAGACTCCCTAGTTCAATACCTAGAGATTCCTTAGCCCAGGAGACTCCTTGTAGAGACCACCCCCACCCCTCCCCCAGCCTCATCTCACCATGTCTAAACCACCCTCAGGTACTGGCTGGCAAACCACCCTGAGGCGGTGCACCAGGAGCCACAGCTGGAAGAAATGATAGGACGTTTCTGGGCCACTGTGGCCCAGGAGGGCAACTTGGCCCAAAGAAGCCTGGGAGATGCCTCCAACCTGTGAGTCAGCCCCATGTCCCTTCCCCACTCCTGTGCTACTCGGCCACCTCCCTCCACACCCCATACCCTCAGCTCTGAGCCACTCCAATACCCTGCCCCTCTTGCTCCCAGCCTGAGCCCTGGTGGCCCTGGCCCCCCACCCCCCATGAGCAGCCCAGGATTAGGCAAAAAGCGCAAAGTGTCCTTGCTTTTCGACCACCTGGAGACGGGGGAGCTGGCTCAGCACCTCACTTACCTGGAGTTCCGGTCCTTCCAGGCTATCACGGTGAGGAGCCCTTCCCCTCCCCACCTAGAGCAGGGGAGGGATTGGGGGAGTGTGCCTAGCATGGGCATTTGGCAGCATCTCAGACTCTCAGACTGTCAAACCTGGATGGTAAAGGGTCCAGAAAAATGAGTTAAACTGGCTGAGCACAGAGCCCCTGGGTTCAAATCCCATCAGTCCCTTCTTACCTGTATAACTTTGAACTAGTTTCTCGATCTCTCTGGGACTCATTTGTAAAATGGAGGTCAAAATACTTCCTAGTTGGGAGAATTAAATTAATATGTCCATTTAAAACTATTTATTGCTGAGACCAGCAGATAGAGCAGTGGTTATGTCACTGGACTCCCACATGGCTGACGGCAGTTTGAGTTGCAGACTTGGTGACTTTAAAATCTCATATGTGCATGTGTGCCCAAGATCCTGGGAGGAGAGTGGAGGAGAAGGGATTATGGTGTGGTCCTACTCCCGGGGCAATGATTTCTCACTTTCTCTCTCACTGTCTCTGTCTCTCTCTGGTAAGCGCACATGTCCTAATGGAAAAACCTAAAAAAAAAAAAGAGTTTATTGCCATGCCTGGCACATATTAAGAGCTCAAAATATTTTATCGATTATTTTAATTTAACTTTACTTATTTATCCATTTAAATTTGACCAGAGAGAGACAGAGTGAGAAAGAGAGAAATGAGAAAACAAGCCACCAGGTCCAGGACTCGAACCACAGTCAGCCATGTGGGAGTCCAGCACCCTTAACCACCACACCACCTGCCGGCCCCTGCATTTTCATATTATGAAAACAATATGGGGAACCAGCAGTTAGCGTAATGGCTATGTCGCTGGACTCCCACGTAGTCGACCACGGTTCGCGTCCCAGACCCGGTGGCTTAAAACTCACGCCGGGCGTGTGTGCGTGCGTGCCCAAGATCCCGAGAGGAGAATGGAGGAGAAGGGATTGTGGCGTGACCAACTCCCCTGGGGGGTGATTTCTCGCTTTCTGTCTCTATGTCTCTGTCTGTCTGGTGAGTGCACGCGCCCTATAGCGAAAAACCTCTCCAAAAAAAAAAAAAAGGAAAAAAAAAAAACCAATATGGACTTTTCTCCCTAAAAGTTATCTATTTAATTCCATGTGTTATTACCATTTTTCAATTTGACCAGAGAGAGAGAGAGGAAAAGGGAAAGGGAGAAAGCAAGCTGCCAGGTCAGGACTCAAACCGCAGTCAGCAATGTGGGAATCCAGGGCCTTTAACCACCACGCCACCTGCTGGCCCCAACATGGATTTTTTTGAAGACCACTCATATATATATGCAAATATACATAGGCAGTGCATGTCTGGAAGGCGAACTCCTTGAGCAGAAGTCAGTCTCAAGTCCTCCAGCCTTCCCCGCGCTTTCCATTGCTGACTGTATGTATACCAGACAGAAATACAATTCAGAGGGCAGAGACTGGCTTCCCACCCTCACAGGCACCTGTGGCCCTGGACAAACTGCTTATCCTTTCTGTGATTCAGTCGCCTCATCTCTAACATGACAGAAACGATCATAATAGTACTCACCTCACAGAGTTAATGAGGACATTAGTTAACAGATCAAGTGCTCAGCATAGCGCCTGGCTTTATTTAAACGTTTCTCCTCAAAGGGGAGAGGACCATGGTGACGTCAGGGACATGTAGCAGCTTGCGGGAAAGACAGATGATAAAGTTACTCAGGCTTGACCAGGATAGGACATCATGGTGTGTGAGCACCGTGTCACCCTGACCCACATCTCGCCCCCCAGCCGCAGGACCTGCGGGGCTACGTTTTGCAGGGCTCAGTGCGGGGCAGCCCGGCCCTGGAGGGTTCCGTAGCTCTCAGCAACAGCGTGTCCCGCTGGGTGCAGGTCATGGTGCTGAGCCGTCCTGGGCCCGCACAGCGCGCGCAGGTGCTGGACAAGTTCATCCACGTGGCACAGGTGAGGCCCGCCCTGCCTTCCCGCTCACATTCTGGGTGCGGCTCCCTAACCTGCGTTCCAACCTGGCTGAGGCTTATAGACACCTGACACCAGCGGGGGTGCTGTCAAGCACCCCCTGGCCCAGCTCATCACGCGCCACGCTCCACTCTGGCTCTGCCTCTGCCTCCAGGCAACAGTCCTGGCGTTCTAACCCGGGAATGTGGCTGTACTTCTTCCCGGACTGGAGGTCGCAGCGTCAAACTCTCCTTGGCCCCAACTGCTGGCCGTAGATGTGACAATTGACAAAGTCCCTCCTGGCCCCATCTCCCAAGCCCGAATATTCTAAAGGAATATTAAAAGTGTTCCTTCCACGCTCCACCTTTGCATCATCCTTCACCGAGGCTTAATTCCCAGTCCCTAAACCCTGTTAGTCCCTTTGGGTCAGAGACCGCATTCTTCCGGTTCCTCCCCGGCCCCGCCCCATTGTGCTATGCCCCTCCCTCCCCTTATCTCCCTCCTTTTCCCCTTCCCTCTCCGGACACCTTCCCTCCCTTCGGTGGAAAAGGGAAGTCCTCCGGCCTCCACCCCGCTGCGGCCACGCCCCTTTGTGTATTTCCACGCAGCCACGCCCTGCCTCGGCCTCTTTCTGCGCTTTGTTTTCTTCCTGACACGCCCAGGCCTGATGGTTGTGGGTTGCGGGGTCATCCTGGCCCACTCTCTCCACAGTGACCTCTGCCCTTCAAACCTGACAAAGGGGAGGGTGAGGGAATTCCCCTGATGCCACCAAAGCCTCGCACCTGATCCCTCCATCACTTTGTCCATTCACAACTGGCCGGTTCCCAGGTCCTGCCCAGAGTTCATGCCTTCTTGTCCCTCCTCGAGGGACTCCCAGAACAGTCAGACCCCTAGATGCCTGGCATCTGTCTGGATCGACGCACTCCTGTCTGCCCCCCAAATCTGCTCAACTGTTTCCCCATACCTTTCTAAACTCACAGAAATCTATCGCCTACCTGACCCCCAGATACGACATCTCTGTTAGCCACAGTCTGCCCGAGACACCACCTTCCCTCACATGTGATGGCCACACTAGTCCACACCCACCACATGCCTGAGACCTCAGCTCTGCGGGGCTGCTCTCACTGAACTCCTTGCGAGACCTTCCTAAGACACCTACTGTCTGCATTGTCTCCCTTCCTAGAGGCTTCGCCAGCTGCAGAATTTCAACACACTGATGGCCGTCACGGGGGGCCTATGTCATAGTGCCATCTCCAGACTCAAGGACTCCAATGCCCACCTGAGCCCCGACAGCACCAAGGTGAATCCCTGCCAGCATCCCCAAAGTTCCAAATGGTCAGCTGGGACCAGCAGTTAGCGTAATGGCTATGTTGCTGGACTCCCACGTAGTCGACCACGGTTCGCGTCCCAGACCCGGTGGCTTAAACTCACGCCCGGCGTGTGTGCATGCGTGCCCTAGATCCCAAGAGGAGAATGGAGGAGAAGGGATTGTGGCGTGGCCATCCCCCCTGGGGGGCGATTTCTTGCTTTCTGTCTCTGCCTCTCTCTGTCTGTCTGGCAAGTGCACGCGCCCTATAGCAAAAACCTCTCAAAAAATAACAACAAAAAACCTCTCCAAATGGTCAGCTGGGACCAGCAGTTAGCGTAATGGCTATGTTGCTGGACTCCCACGTAGTCGACCACGGTTCGCGTCCCAGACCCGGTGGCTTAAACTCACGCCCGGCGTGTGTGCATGCGTGCCCTAGATCCCAAGAGGAGAATGGAGGAGAAGGGATTGTGGCGTGGCCATCCCCCCTGGGGGGCGATTTCTTGCTTTCTGTCTCTGCCTCTCTCTGTCTGTCTGGCAAGTGCACGCGCCCTATAGCAAAAACCTCTCAAAAAATAACAACAAAAAACCTCTCCAAATGGTCAGCTGGGACCAGCAGTTAGCGTAATGGCTATGTTGCTGGACTCCCACGTAGTCGACCACGGTTCGCGTCCCAGACCCGGTGGCTTAAACTCACGCCCGGCGTGTGTGCATGCGTGCCCTAGATCCCAAGAGGAGAATGGAGGAGAAGGGATTGTGGCGTGGCCATCCCCCCTGGGGGGCGATTTCTTGCTTTCTGTCTCTGCCTCTCTCTGTCTGTCTGGCAAGTGCACGCGCCCTATAGCAAAACCAAACAAACAAACAAAAAACCTCTCCAAATGGTCAGCTGTCCTGAATCTTCCATGCTTAAATTCTCAACCCCCATCAATCCCTGCCCAGGGGCCCTATGCCGCCTGAGGACTTTGCCCCTCCAAATGCCACCACGCTGCCTATGCTCAGCGTGTCTGGTCTCAAGCTAGACTGTGAGGGAGAGAGATAAGAGATACGAGCAGAGAACACGCAAGTGCCTTACACACCCCAAGATGCTGACCCAAGGGAGTGACATGGCTTGGGGATATCCTGGGTGGGGATGTGTCTGGGAAGAGTAAGTCAGTCAAGAGCCTGGTGTGTGGCTGAGGTCAGGAAGTGGCAGCAAACTGGGCTAGAGATGCCCAGGGAAAGACCCTGTGAAGTCTTACACGCTCAGCTAGGTGTTTGGGCTTTATTCGGAGGGCAAAGGGGAGCTAGGGTAAGTTTGGGAGAGATGACAGTAAACATATCAGATTGGGTTTTTAAGAAATCACTCTAGCCTAGTAAATGGGGAATAGTAGGGCCTTACTGAGATGGCGACTCAAGGGGGAGAACAGTTGGGGGGCGATGCTGGGACCAGCATGGGCTATGGAAGGGCTCCGAAGGTGTCCAAAATGTCATTGGGGAGTCTGGAGCCCACTCAGGAGGCTACTAGGATACTCCCTCCAGGGGGCTCAGAGAGCAGAGCCAGCCTGCTGGATAACATGTCCCCCCCCATCTCTTGCCCCTCCCACACAGGCCCTGCTGGAGCTGAATGAGCTCCTGGCCTCCCACAACAACTACGCCTGCTACCGCCGCACCTGGGCCAGGTGCACAGGCTTCCGGCTGCCCGTCCTGGGTGTGCACCTCAAGGACCTGGTGTCCCTGCACGAGGCACAGCCCGACAGGTTGCCTGACGGTCGTCTGCACCTCTCCAAGCTGAACAGCCTCTACCTGCGGCTGCAGGAACTGGCAGCTCTCCAGGGGCAGCAGCCCCCCTGCAATGCCAACGAGGACCTGCTGCATCTGCTCACGGTGAGCTGCTTGCCCTGCTCATGCCAGGCCCCAGGGTCTGAGCCCCAGAATACTGAGAGTTAGCATCCTGGGCAGATGAGGGTCTGCAGGACCAGGATGGAAGAGCGCTGGAATCAATGCACAGGTTTTGAAGCCAGAGCTTCTAGGTTTTTTCCTCTTTTTTTTTTGGAGAGATTTTCGCTATAGAGCGCGTGCATTCACCAGACAGACAGAGACATAGAGACAGAAAGCAAGAAATCACCCCTCAGGGGGGATGGCCACGCCGCAATCCCTTCTCCTCCATTCTCCTCTCGGGATCTTGGGCACGCACGCACACATACCCAGCGTGAGTTTAAGCCACCTGGTCCGGGACGCAAACCGTGGTCGACTACGTGGGAGTTCAGTGACATAGCCATTACGCTAACTGCTGGTTCCCTGGGTTTTTTCCCTAGCCGTGTGCTTTTGAGTAAGTCACTTAACCTCTTGGCCTTAATTTCCCTACCTGCAAAATGGGAAAACGGTATTAGAACCCACTTCAGAGGGTGGTTAAGAAGAATCAACCAGTCTCATAATGCATGTAAAGTACTTCTGAAACACAGTGAGCTCTATATACAGGATACATTTTCCCTCCCGATTCCCCCAGGGACGTAAGTATCCACTGATCTGAGGAACTCTAGACTTCTACACTAACCTTCTAGATTCTGAGCTTCTCATGCCAATAGTCCCAAATTCCAGGAATCTAACAAAAAGCTAATACCAAGTATTGATCATCTACCGTGCACCAGGCTCTGTGTTCATTAAATATTCCACGTATCACTTTATTCTCTATCGCAACATTATGAAGCGGGGACCCTTATTGTGCCCGTTCTATGAGTTAGGAAACTGAGGCCCAGCCAGATGAGGTCACACTGGCCCACAACAGTCAAACTAGGAGTTAAATTTTGAGCCCATGTGTTAATATATGTTAACAACTACACTGTGGGGGTCAGCACGCGGCATAGTGGCTAAGGGGCTGGACTCCCACATGGCTGACTGCAGTTCGAGTTCCAGACCTGGCAGCTTGAAAATCACACGGGGCATGTGTGCAGTGTGTGCCCAAAATCCTAGGATGAGAATAGAGGAAAAGGAATGGTGGCATGGCCATCCCCCGCTGCCCCCGAGGGATGATTTCTCATTTTCTCTCTCACCATCTCTCTCTGGTAAGTGCACGTCTGTGGCAAACACCTAAAAAAATAATAACTACACTATGTTCGAAGATGATGAGTGTAGAATGTCAGCTGTGATTCACCTAAAGATTCTTATTTTTCATATTTTTTAGAGATTTATGTATTTCTTTTGTAAAAATTATTTAATGTCATTTATTATTTTTACTTTATTTTTCAAGAGGTTTTTGCCTTGGGCCACATGCGTTCTCTGGAATGAGAGGGACAGAGACGGTGAGAGGGAAAGTGAGAAATCACCCGTGGGAGGATGGCCACACCACAGTCACTTCTCCTCCATTCTCCTCCCAGGATCTTGGGCACACACATACACATCCCCAGCATGAGTTTCTTTTTCTTTTCTTTTCGTCTTTTCTTTTCTTTTCTTTGCTTTGCTTTGCTTTGCTTTGCTTTGCTTTGCTTTTGAGAGGTTTTTGCTACTGGGTGGGTGCATTCGCCAGAATGACAGAGAGAGACAAAGAGACAGAAAGCAAGAAATTACCCTCCCAGGGGGGATGGCCACGCTGCAATCCCTTGTCCTCCATTCTCTCGGGATCTTGGGCACGCACGCACACGCACCTGGCGTGAGTTTAAGCCACTGGGTCCAGGACCCAAACTGCAATCAACTACATGGGAGTCCAGCAACATAGCCATTACGCCAGTCACTGGTTCCCATGCCCAACATGAGTTTCAAGCCACCAGCTCCAGGACTCAAACTGTGGTTGGCCATATGGGAGTCCAGCAACATAACCCCTATGCCATCTGCTAGTCCCAATTATTATTATTATTATTATTATTATTTTATTTTGCTGTGGAGCATATGTGCTCACCAGAAAAACAAGAGAGAGAGAGAGACATCCAGAGAGAGAGAGAAAGCAAGCCTTCAGGTCTGGGACTTGAACCATAGCTGGCCATGTAGAAGCCCAGCACCTTAACCACCATGACACCTGCTGGCCCCAAGATTTACTTATTTCCTCTGTAAGCAAAAGACAGAGAAAGAAACAGAGACATCATTTCCTTAAGGTCTTGACACCGAGATCCACCTACAGCGTCAGCCAGTCAGGATCATGGACCCATGTGTGCTCGGCACACTCAGGGAGGTCTCCAGAATCAAACCTGGAACCTTTCCACATGGGTCAGCCTTTAAGAGCTCTGTGTTTCATCACTGCTACCATCCAGTCCCCTGATGATTTTTAATTTTATTTAAGAAACAGGGTCTCGTTATGTAGCCCAGGCAGGCCTCAAATTCACAATCCTGTGTCAGCCTCCCAAGCAGCTGGGATTACAGGAGCATGCCGCCATGCCCAGCTCCCCTGAAGATACTGAAATTGAGAGAGAGGCTGAGACCCTAAGGGCCATGTAGTTGAAGACTGAAAAGTAGATTTTCAGACCCTAGGGCAGGACCAGTTTTAGCACTGGCAGGACCCAGTGAGAAATAAAAATATGAGGCTCCTTGCTTAAAATCATTGAGTTTGAAGTTGAAGACAGCAGGGAAGTAAAGGATCATTGGCTTATGAAGCCAGCCCCCACCACCCCATAGTGCACAGCCCCTAAGAGCCTAAAGCTCTGGGCCTTGCCATCAGCCTGCTTTTTTTTTTTTTTTTTTTTTTTTTTTTTACAGTTTTTGCCATAGGGCAAGTACACTCACCAGGGAGAGAGAGAGACAGTGAGAAGAAAAGTGAGATATCACCCTCCTCCCCAAGGAGAGTGCCCATGTCACAATCCCTTCTCCTCTACTGTCCTCCTGGGATTCTGAGCATGCACACATACTCACCTGGCAGATTTGCAAACTGCTAGGTCCAGGACTCAAACCACAGGGGGCCATGTGGGAGTCCAGGGCCTTAACAACCATGCCATCAGCCCACATATTTATTAAGCACTTGCTGGGAGCACTCACTACTTGGAGCACTGGGGATAGCGCAGGAAGCAAGTCAGAAAAAAAGTTGCTGCTCTTCTGGGGCTGACAGTCTAGTGGTGGAGACAGCCAAGAAACCAAAGTGATACGTAGAATCACTTTTCGGGGGAAAGTACAGAGAAAAAAAATCAAGTAGGAGGCTGATCCTGTAGCCTACTGGTTAAGGGAGCTGGATCCCAAATGGTTGACCAAGGGTTGAATTCTGGCTCTGGTGGCTTGAAAAACACATTGGGCACATGTGTATGCATGCCCCAAATCCTAACAGGATGAAGAGAGAGGGGAGAAGAGATTGTGGCATGACCATGCCCCATTGGGGGGTGCTTTCTCCCTTCCTCTCTCTGGTAAGCAAAAATACCCTCTGGCAATTAAAAAAAATAATAACAGGGAGGGGGAACCAGCAGTTAGCGTAATGGCTATGTTGCTGGACTCCCACGTAGTCGACCACGGTTCGCGTCCCAGACCCGGTGGCTTAAAACTCATGCTGGGCGCATGTGCGTGCGTGCCCAAGATCCCGAGAGAATGGAGGACAAGGGATTGCAGCGTGGCCATCCCCCCTGAGGGGTGATTTCTCGCTTTCTGTCTCTCTCTGTCTGTCTGGCGAAGCGCACGCACCCTATAGCGAAAACCTCTTCAAATAATAATAATAATAATAATAACAGGGAGAGAGAAACATAGCAGAAAAGGCATAGAACATGACAGGTTGCAATTAAGCAATTTTTTTTTCTTTTTTGGAGAGATTTTTGCTATAGGGCGCGTGCACTCGTCAGACAGACAGAGAGAGACAGAAAGCGAGAAATCACCCCTCAGGGGGGATGGCCACGCCACAATCCCTTCTCCTCTATTCTCCTCTCGGGATCTTGGGCACGCACACACACGTGCCCGGTGTGAGTTTAAGCCACCAGGTCCAGGATTCGAACCGTGGCCGACTACATGGTAGTCCAGTGACGTAGCAATTACTCCAACTGCTGGTCCCTGTAACAGAAATTTAATACAACAGTGGATGAAACGAGATGAAGTTTTACTTTTCCTTTCTTTCTTTTTTTTTTAAATGAGAGTTTGCCATAAGACACATATGCTCACTGGAGAGACAGAAAGAGAGAGAGAGAGAGAGAAAGAGAGAGAGAGAGAGGGAAA